CGGCCCAAGATACCTAACTGACCGCCTTTCGGCCTATGAGCCCACGAGGACTTTGAGATCTTCCGGGGAGGCCCTGCTTTCGATCCCGCCTGCGTCACAGGCACGGCTGGCAGGGACGAGAGATAGGGCCTTCTCGGTGGTGGCTCCTCGGCTGTGGAACACCCTTCCCGTAGACATCAGGCTAGCCCCCTCCCTGTTGACATTCCGCAGGAAGCTAAAGACCTGGCTGTTTAAGAAGGCATTTGAATAGAAGTGCAGTGACTGGTAACTTGACCATAGGAATGGAACAACGGAAATGGTATTGGATTGTGAACTTGATGAGACGACTCGGAATGGCTTGTAATAATGTTGATGTTTTTGATGAGATGTTTTGATAATGATGTACTGCGGATTATTTTTCACTATGTTTGTATTTTGCACCTGTTTTTCTATGTTGTACACCGCAATGAGTCGCCATTAGGCTGAGAATTGCGGTATATAAGCGTAGTAAATAAATAAATAAATAAATAAATAAATAAATCTTGCATGCAAGTTGTTTGAACTATAGCCCACTTCATTACATGCATCAAGTGCAACTCAGAATCTCAGGAACAGAAAGGACATGGGTTGTATGTAGTTGAAGTCAAAGAGAAATTAAATGCAGAAAGTAATCACAGTGGCAACTGTATTGTTAACGCTGACACTGACTATTGAAAAAAACCTGTTGTTCATAATGCAATCTTGTTATTATTGAAACATGTAGTTTGTGAAATATCTATTATGATTCAGATTTTGGTAATAGACTGGAACTTCTAAATGAATATAATGCATCCTTGTCATTCAGAGATGAGATACATTGCATGCATTACAGCTTTCCTCTGCTCCTGCTCCCTGCTCCTCAATAGCACCTGCCATGCCTCCTTTTCATGAGCATCTTCCAACTCCTTTCTCCCTCCCACTTTTTTACCTCCTACACTGCTGTTCCTGGAAATGTTTCTAAAGAACATTGAAGAAATTCTGTCCCTTTTCAGGACTCCTTCCGAGGGCTATCCTCCTTTCCTTCTCATGTTCTTCTTTGGCTTCAAACCTTGTGGGTGGAGGAAAAGAAGGGGAAATGTTTATCTTGCTTATCCTTTTTACATTACTATCTTATCTCAAGGTTTTAAAAAGTTCTTTCTGTCTGCATGGCTTCACCTTCCAGAAACCACAGGAAGTTTTCAATCTGTAGTTTAGTTGCGCAGGCTTCATACACCACATTCAAATATAATTAACTTAGAAATTAACTTAAATGAGATCTTTTTTTTCCCATTGCCCTTTTCAACTAACCACCACAGTCACGCCAGGCACAAGACCCCCATGAAAGCAAGTAAGTACAAATACAGAAATTCCGAATGTTTTACATGTCTAGAAATGTTTAGGTCTTCCAGCACAACTCTATGGTCAGCTTCCACTTGAGTTGCATTGGAGGACCTAGAGCAGGACCTTCTCAACCTGTAGGTCGGGACTTCTGGGGGGGGGGTCACGAGGGGGCGTCAAAGGGGTTGCCAAAGACCATCAGAAAACACTGTCTTTTCTGTGGGTCATGGGGGCAGTTTGGCCCAATTCTATCATTGGTGTGGTTCCGAATGCTCTTTCAGTGTAGGTGAATTATAAATCTCAGCAACTTCTACTCCCAAATGTCAAGTTTATTTTCCCCAAACTCCACCAGTGTTCACATTTGGGCATATTAAGTATTCACACCAAGTTTGGTCCAGATCCATCATTGAGTCCACAGTGCTCTACCTGGTTGTAGGTAAACTACAACTCCAAAACTCAAGGTCAATGCCCACCAAACCACCCAGTATTTTCTGTTGGTCATGGGAGTTCTTTATGCCAAGTTCGGTTCTATTCCATTGTTGGAGGCGTTTGGAATGCTATTTGATTGTTAACTATAAATCCCAGCATAACAAAATCAATCCCCCCCCAACCCCACCAGTATTCAAATTTGAGTGTATCGGGTATCTGTGCCAAATTTGGTCTAGTGAATAAAAATACATCCTGCATATCAGATACTTACATTACGATTCATAACAGAAGCAAAATTACAGTTATGAAGTTGCAATGAAAATAATTTTATGGTTGGGGGTCACCACAACATGAGGAATTGTATTAAAGGGTTAGGAAAGGTTGAGAACTACTGACCTAGAGATTCCTAGCAAAGCGTTCTCTATAGGTTCCTCAGCACAACTCAATGGGAGTTCTACTGGAAGCTGACCGTAAAATCGCACTGGAGGACTTAAAGGTTCTTATAGAGACAATTTTAAATCAAATTAGCAAAAGCCAAAATCATAGATGTCGAAGACGACTGTAGTCAAAAATTACCTGTCATTGTACAGTTATCTGTACCAGCTGTTAAACATATAAAGTGACACAATAGTATAATAAAACACTGACTAAAAAGCAGATATAACTGGAGGCCATGCCAGACATGAACATATCTGGATTTCTCATTGATGTGTGAGTATCGTTACAAATGATAATTTTGTGGCGAAGTTGCTGTGAGATAACCTGTCCAATCTACATGAGTTATTTGGACCTTCGCTTCTGTTTAGATTCTTCTTGTTGGACTGCAGACATCATATTATGAATATATGTATGTAAACGACCTTACTTTCATGTGCATGCATTTAGAAACTTTTGAAATCCATATACTGTTTTTGTTCAAGACCTTCCTTTCACCTTCTAGTTTCCTGACATGCATCAACAGATACTATGCAAAATGGGATAACTGGGAGGAGAAGGAAGAGAACACTAACAAGAGAGTGCTCCAAATAATTTTTAATATGTGTAATAGGTTGCAACAGATATTTTCTGAGGGAGTCCTAACTATAGAGTAGTCAAAGGGAAAATCCAGACTGTGGTACACTTTTGCCCCAAGGCTGTAATCATAAACACCGATGTAAGAATAAATCCCATCGACATCAGTGAGCCATCCTTTCACCTAGGTGTATTTGTACATGTTGGATTGTGGGTCCAAACTTCATTGTTGTGCAAAAAGAAAAAAGCCATAGCCAACACCCATCTTTGCCATTTTCACTAGTTAGTGCAGACCCCTCTTCTCCCCATCAAAAGCAACCATTTTGCTAAAAAGAGAAGCATGACCTTCTCTTAGGACAGGGATGGAAGTGATGCTGGTTAACTGGATATCAATGAATCTTTCCTCCCACAGTTGGACTGACAAGATTCCAGCAAGCAACGCAGGAAGGTTAGCAACATCCAGGAAAGTTAAGAAGTGAGTCTGTTTCCTATAGGTCTATATTTAGGCCATTTAAAAAAAAGTTGTCAGCTGCCCAGATTAGCAAACTGTCTTGTCACCAGCAGGTTTTCTACTAGGCCAACAAGGTCGAGACCCCATGATGACTACATTGCACCTGATTGTTGATCTTTGCAAGCAGTTACAAGGACATATTTTTTATCAAAGGAATGGAATAAAAGAGCCATAAATAGAACATGTTGGAGATTATAAGTGATCTGAAGATGAGTAATAAGGGTCTCCCCATCACAAGTTTAAATAGCAACCTTTTGCCTTCTCCAGAACAGACAGTTGAAGAAGGAACCGGAAATTGTGACATTAAAGAACCATGCTGTCTTTAGTGGGAGGAATCGCCACAAAAAGGAAGTTCTGGAGTTTCCCTCAGAGCTCTCTTCAAAGAGAGGGTTAGGATTCACTGATAACTAGCAAAGGACACATGGCTACTATCAGAGTCTGCTTGGGGGAAGCCTCTGTTTGTTAGTTTGTTTGTTTGTTTATTTACCGCATTTGTATACTGCCTTTCTCAGCCAGAGGCGACTCAAGGCGGTTCAGTCGGTAGCATTTCGATGCCATAATAAATATCAAAATACAGTTAAAACAATTACAAAAACAATTCAACATTTAAAATGTAATATAAAAATCAAATATATCTGTAAAAACAAGATCTAGAACAGGCATGGGCAAACTTTGGCCCTCTGGGTGTTTTGGATTTCAACTCTCACAATTTCTAACAGTCGGTAGGCTGTTAGAAATTGTGAGAGTTGAAATCCAAAACACCCGGAGGGCCAAAGTTTGCCCATGCCTGCTCTAGAAAGACACTCAAAAACAAAATGTTGGGGATGAGGATCGCAAAAATAATTTAAAAAACAAACAATAGGAAAATCTCTTAATTAAAATAGGTACTTCAGAAGTAGGATGTAATGTAAGTAGAGTCTCGCTTATCCAACATAAACAAGTTGGCAGAACGTTGGATAAGCGAAAATGCTGGATAATAAGGAGGGATTAAGGAAAAGCCTATTGGACGTCAAATTACATTATGATTTTACAAATTACGCATGTAGTTTTGTTTCTAACTTTGCTGTATTATTTTTGGGCTTGGCCTCATGTTTGCCACCTCGAGTCCCCTTTGGGGAGATAGTGGCGGGGTATAAATAAAGTTTATTATTGTTATTATTACTATTACATCACATAGTCCGACCTAGACACTTGGGAAGTGCCCATGTGATCCAAAACAACCACCAGCAAAATGATCTTGTTTGCTGTGTACTAACCTTGTTGTGTTTCAAATAAAAATAATGAATAATAATAATAATTAACTGCCATGGTTCAATGCTCTGGAATCTTGGGAGTTGCAGTTTGGTAAGGGCTCTGGAATCTTGGGAGTTACAGTTTGGTAAGGTCCCAGCACTCTTGAGCAGAGATGGCCAAAGACCTTGCAAAACTACAGTTCCCATGATTCCATAATATGGAGCCGTGGCAGTTAAAAGTGGGGTCAGATTGCATTAATAATCTTACAGAGCAGACCTCTTTTCCTCCGCCTATAAAAAAGGGATGAATCTTCTGGAAAGAGATGCGTCACCGCAAAGGAGGCAGTTTCTGGGAAAGGCCTCTCGCGGGCATTTGGGGCCCATCCAGTGGGTAGACCGGCCTCTTCTCTCTCGGTTGCTCCGTTCCCGCCCACTATGCAGATTTATCTCAGGCCCCTCCAATCAGGCGTGAGCTGGTGGGCGGGTCTTAGTGGGAGAAGTATAAGTCACCTCGGGCAGGGCTCCTTTTGGTAGAAGGGTGGCTTGGTTTCCTTTTTCTGAGGCCTGGAGATCCGGTAAGAACCGAGCATTTTCCCCACAGTTCGTGAGTATGGCTAATTAGATTACGGATAGGGTTTGCGTATGTTTACGGTCCTGAGGCGCTACATCGGGATGCATCTACACTGTAGAATTAATTCGGTTTAACACCACTTTTAAGTTATTCTGGGAGTTGTAGTTTGGCTGGACACAATACTCTTTGACAGCGATGGCTGCTCCCAAGATTCCATAGCACTAAGCCACAGCAGTTAAAGCGGCGTGAAACTGCGTTAATTCAATGGTGTGGATGCGCCCTTGGCACGGATCGGGTGGTACTTGCGTGGCGCCGGGGAAGTGGCCATCCTGAGAAAGGGGAAGTCCCACTTTCCTTCTCACGTTCTCCTTGGCTCTTGAGATTGCAAACTCATGCATCTACACTGTGGAATGACTTCAGTTTGGAACCGTTTTAGTTGCCATGGCTCCCTGCTCTGGAGTCCTGGGAGTTGGACTAAAGATCTCGTAACACTACAACACACATATTAATAGCATTGAGCCAAAGCAGCAAAAGTGGTGCCAAACTGTATTCATTCCACTTTATGGGCCAACTTGGGCCTTGCAGGTGTTTTGGACTCCAACTCCCATCATTCCTAACAGCCTCAGGCCCCTTCCTTTTCCCCCTCAGCCGCTTAAGCTTAAGCGGCTGAGGGAGAAAAGGAAAGGGCCTGAGGCTGTTAGGAATGATGGGAGTTGGAGTCCAAAACACCTGCAAGGCCCAAGTTGGCCCATGCCTGCTGTAGATGCACTTTGAAGACGATATCACATTACAGGCCTGCGTTTCCCAATTGCCTGCTTTGCTCCTGCAGGATTCTGGGAAATGTAGTTTAGAGTAGAGCCTTTGGAATTCTCAGCCACAGAGGTCCTGGCTTCCCTAAACTACATTTCCCAGAATTCTGCAGGAGCAAAACTGGGCGATTGGGAAATGTGGGCCTGTGATTCGGAACTCTAATGTGATACAATATAATAACCATAATCATAATAATCTTTATTTATACCCTACCACCATCTCCCCAATGGGGACTCGGGGTGGCTAACCTGAGGCCGAGCCTAGAAATAATACAACCAAATAATATACTAAACCGTAGACAATTAAACACAACAGAATACATAATGCAACAAAATAAAATAGACAATGCAAAATAACATAATAAAATCAATCACAAAGGGCGGGCCAAACATGCAAGATAAAATGTTATGGTATCATCCTCAGTCCTCTTTGTCTTAAGGATTTATGGAGCAACTTGAAGGCACACAAGGTGCAGAGCCCAGAAAAGTAACAGTTTGATATTTGTTGTCATCCGATGCTAGGAATATTATTATTTTATTATTGTGTCCAAAGTTACTTGAGAAACTGCAAGTCGCTTCTAGTGTGAGAGAATTGTCCGCCTGCAAATAAGTTGCCCAGGGGATGCCCAGATGTGTTACCATCCTGTGGGAGGCTTCTCTTATGTCCCCGAGCTCATCTCGTCTCGCAGATTTGAACCACTGACCTTCAGGTCAGCAGTTCAGCCAACACATTGCGCCACCGCGGCACCTTATGATGCTAGGATGGAGAAGTGACTGTAGTTGACAATTTCTGCATCTTCACACAGTTGTCTCCACAATCTCTGTTTCATATTACAGGCTTGATTCCCTGCAGGGTGTTGAATTCCTACAACTGTAGACTCTTTCATATTTCAGTTTCCTTAGTGATATTCAACTGCTGACTGTTGTATGCTGTTTTGTGACTGAAAGTTTTGTTCAATTTTTTTATGCAATCCTTTTTTAGTCCAGATAGTTGGTGCAAGGCCTCTTTTTATTTTTTGACAGCCCGTTGTTAGATTTCTCTCGTGCTCTATCATGGGTATCAAACTTGTTTTTTCTTTTTTTGTGTGTGTCAGGAGTGGGGGGGTTGATTTTGTCATTTGGGAGTTGTAGTTGTTGGATTTATAGTTCACATGCAATCAGAGAGCATTGAAAACTCCAGCAATGATGGAATTGAACCAATCCTGGCACACAGAACTCCCATGACTAGCAGAAAATAGTGGAAGGGTTTGGTGTGTATTTACCTTAATTTGGGGGAGTTTTAGTTCACTTACATCTAGAGAGCACTATTGATTCAAACAATCATAGATCTGGACCAAACTTGGCGCAAATAATCAATATGCCCAAATGTGTACATTGGTGGAGTTTGGGAAAAATGCACTTGACATTGAGGAGTTGTAGTTGCTGGGATTTATAGTTCACCTACAATCAAAGAACATTCTGAACCCCACCAACGATAGAATTGGGCCAAACTTCCCACACAGAACCCCCATGACCAACAGCAAATACTATGTTTTCTGATGGTCTTCGACACCCCCTTGCAACCCCCAGGATGAGAAACGCTGGTCTACACTATAGTATTAATGCAGTTTGGCACTACTGTAATTGACATGGCTCAATTATATGGAATCATGGGATTTTTTCAAGGTTTTTAGCCTTCTCTGCCAAATGGTACAGAGAATGCTCATTCCATTGGCAGTGGGTCATGCTTGGCTAAGTGCCCTAAAGATGCCAGGTCCCATTGGATCTTGGATGCTCAGAAGGTGAGTACTTGGTTGGGAGGCCACTAACTAATGCCAAATGATGTAGCCTATATTTCAGAGGAAGGAACAGGCAAATCTGCATTTCAGTTTTCCTAGTCTAAAAAAACCCATAACTTGACAGACAAGTTGAAAGTATACACAATGTTTGTAAACTTATGACTATTCTCAGCCTCAGAAATAGTCAGTAGAAGAGAACAGACTTCACTGACTGCATTTTTGCAATTGGACATTTGCTCCTGGAATTTCCTGGCAGTGCTATGGCAAAACTGGGATTATATTGTTATAAATACATAACAATATATTGATCAGATAATCTATTCGGAAAATGAGGGGCCAGGAGAGACTTACACTGCAACCAAACTGCTAGTAATAGAACACCTGAAGCCTCACTAGGACTCGCCCGTCAGTCACATAGATATGAAATAGATGTATTTTTCCATAGATTATTTATTGTGAAATGTGGCGGATGCCATTGTGTTAGGAAGCTTCTTCACAGTACTCCTATTCACAAACTGTGTGATACTGAGTCACAGGTGGCAGTCAAAGCAGTGAACAACATGGTTTTTAATCCTTTGAGATTCAGTGTGCAAAGCAATTTCTCCATACTTAAAGGAGTGGTAGCATTTCAGCTATGAGTAAGATGTTCAATTCAATTACCAAATCAGGGTGCTTAATATCTCAAGGTGTGCCTTCTTCCCCAGAGCCCATAGAGAAACACATCTTCTCATCACTGCATAAATTCTGCTACTGCCCCCATCGTCTTACTGGTTTGATTGGGAAATGGTTGACGTTGGTGGTCAGAACAGTTGGAGGCAGTGCACAGGAATTGCTTGGGGGCCACATGCAGAGTAAAACCTGTGTGCTCCCCTCCCTTGCATGAAATAAACTTCACAGAAAAGAGGAAGCAGTGGGAAACTGCTTAATTCCTGTAACTGTCTCTCCCAACCCTACCTATAAGCTATTTATTTTTTAATTCAAGCAAACAAAACACACACTGGCAGATTGGAGACCAAGGCATAGTGTTTACTGGGTGCCAAATGTCCAGGTGAGCAGACATATATTAATTTGGCACAGAAATACAGGCAATGGCAGAACCAGTTGAGCTCCAAAATAGAATTCGAGAGCTGAGAAAACCTTCCTCGTCAGCCTTCAGTGGAAAAAAAAATCAAATTCATTTTTTAGGAGAGCGTTCGCTTTACAGGTTTCTTTCAGTACTAAATAGTTTATATTCATTATGTTTAATTGTGTGCTATGATGAATTACAGTGCATTTGTTATTGGCAATTTATTAAAAAAAAGTGTGATCGAAGTACCTAACGTGTGTGCCGTGCGAAATTCAGAGAAGGAATGGTGCTGTTTCTATTAAGAACCATTTCTCACTCACGGAAAAGGTACAGGGGGCCTTCATCTTCCCTACTTTTCCTTATTCCTCTCTGCTTCTTTAACAAGGAAAAGAGTGAGATGACCAGACAAATACCTGGAAGGGAAAGGATATAAGATCAATGTATTGTTGAAGGCTTTCATGGCCGGAATGTTCTAGTAGCATTCTCGCCTAATGTTTCATCTACATCTATCACAACCTCTGAGGGTGCCTGCCATAGATGTAGGTGTAATGTCAGGAGATAATGCTTCTAGAACATGACCATATAACCCGAAAAACCTACAACAAGCCAAATAAAAGGCCACATCCCTTCGATGCCTGGTTTGCATCTTTAACAACAAAAGGAGATGTGGCACACCAAAATTGATGTTGTCTGTAGCTTGATTCTAACTAAAACCAAATGTTGGTCACTGTTGAGCAGCAGTTCCCTGTTGTACGAAATGACCAGCACTGGCTGGAGATGCTAGGTGTTATAGTCCAACACATCTTGAGGCCACAGATTGGTGCAGTGTTCATGCTGACATGCCTTCATAAGCCATGACATGCATCTGAGAATGAATCACATCTTCCTCTAGGAAACTTTACTATGAAGCAAGACTGTGAGTAAAGCCAGTTGGTAACTAGGTTGGGCTCTGTTGCTTTCTCTCTCAGCGCATATGCCATGACTCAGCCTTTAAAAATGCCTCACTGTGGTTCAATTTCAGGAAAATTATAAGCCTAAGAAAAAGAGTAATGTGTATAGTTCTGAAGAGAAAAATAAAGATGCTTTCTCCAGAACAGAACACCTGGCACCTATAGGTTTTGTGTAATGATGGTAGGCTGCTGTTACTCATGTAAAAATGAGTTTGACCATTCCTATCACATTAATGAGGGCATCTCTTGAAAAGACTATTAACAACATCAAAAACATTAGTGCAATAATTACCATTGAGATCAAATGACACTCAAATTTGAAGATTCATTTCACAAATGAGAGATTTTGTTGTTGTTTTGAGGATGTGGTATGAGGGGTTTTTTTTGTTTGTTTTGCAGTTGTTACACTGCTCCCCAAACCTGCCAACCATTGTCTCCAGGCTTAAGATTTGTAATAAGATCTTGTTATGTTGAGACCTTAAAAGAGATAAGGGGTTTAAATTCTTTCTTTTGGTTCTGTTTCAACACTGTTTGGCCCTGAGAGGTAGAGTGAATAATGCAGGTATGCAAGACTAATAAATAGCATCTTGTGGAAAGAGATGATGCAAAACCTAGAAACCTCCCTCTCATCACTGCTGTTCTGTACAAAGTCCAAGTCCCCTGTACCTGTTTGGAAGCTTTGAACAAACTTTTGTGAGATTTAGTTACATGTCCCCCACATTATGTGCGCTTTGGCTTCTGACTGAATAGATGAATAATGTTTTCTTCTTAAGTCCAAAGCTTGTGTTTGTTTGTGTGTGTGTGCATGCATGCCTTCAAATCATCTGAAGATTTACGATGACCCCATTAACTTCATAGGATTCTTAGGCAAAGAATATGCAGAGGTGGTTTGACCAGTTTCTTCCTTTGAAATAGCAGCATTTTGAATTCATTAGTGGTCTAGCATATAAGCACTAACCAGAGCCAAAATCAGACAGGATCTGATGCCTTTTGGTATATGCACAAATATAGGTATTATATAGGAACAATTAACAAGCAGGATTGAAAAAAGACAGCATAAGCAAAATATTTCAGCTGCATGTCTTTTTCTGGGGCTATACGCACATACACATACTATTCTTGTAAATGTTACCTGTGCAGTTTACCAAATTCTGCACACAGTATTGAGATCCACAGTTGCAGAGTAAGGCTATCGCTATAGAACAGGTATGGGCAAACCCAGGCCCCGAGGGCCAGATGCAGCCCCTTGGGCTCTTTTTTCAGGCCATCATCTCTTTTACCATCCTATCCTTCCTTCTCTCTTTCCTTCCTCCTTGCCTCCCTCCCTTACCTCCATCTTTCTCCCTCCTTCCTTCCTTCCCTTCTACCCTTTCATCCTTCCTTCCTTCTCTCTTTCCCTCTCTTTCTTCTTCCATCTTTTTCCTTCCTTCCCTTTTGTCTTTCCTCCCTTCTCTCTTTCCTCCCTCCCACTAGTCCCTTCAACCCTTCCTTCCATCCTTCTCTTCCTCCCAAGGCCAGCCCTTTTGAGATCCAAATGTTTCCAGTATTTCCTTCACTTTCTGTCTCCTAACAAAAAGAGGAAGGGGAAGGAAGGGAGGGGACTTGGAGAGAACCCCTTCCCTTCCAAGACCCACCCACCCACCCCACTCTGGCCTGCCATGAGACCCCCAAGTTAGAAAGTTTGCCCATGCCTGCTGTAGAAGGTTAGAAAAATCAAACCTTTCCAAAGTGTTCTGTATCTACTCTGCTATACAATTAATGCATACTGTGTTGATCATAATAATACAATCCACGTTTCTCCTGTCAGTGGTTTCATCTCAGGGGGAGCTCTGAGTTGCATGCAAGTATTGGGTGAGGCTGAAGTCAGTAGGCAAGAAGGAACCAATACACTGGGTTATAACTACTTTTGAAATTTTGAAATTCATCTAAAATGCTGGAAGTTGTCTACCCTGAATCAGCTTAGAACTAAAGTGTTGCCCTTTTGAGTCTCCCCTCTAGCAAGGGAGGTGAGATTTCATGCTGTAGAAGTATTGCAGCAAAACCTGTTTGGTGGCAACTCCATGGGATTGAATTGCATGTGGCCAGCAAAGGCTCTTTACACAGGAGGATCTTAGGCAACCCATCAAGTATTTGTTGGGAAACTTTGCCTCACAGAGAACTAATAAATGCTGTGGGCAAAACCCACAACTGAATGGGCACCGGTGCCTGCTTTTCTTGCTCAAAAGAAGTAATCCTTTCTCTCTTCCCAAATCTTCTTTATCCAGCTGTTATCTTTAAAAATGGATCTTGACATCCAGTGTACCGAGCTCAACACCGCCAAATGGAAAGAACTTGTTTCATCCCTGCATCAGTACAAAACTATCAGGTAAATAATGTTTGTTTATTTCAAAGACAGACACTCTAGCACTTGCAAGAGATTGAGTTAGATATAGCTTCAGCTGGCTTGGTGGAAGAGGCTCCAACCTTGCTTCTGAAACAAATAAGAGATGCTTCTGGGTTGCTGTGAGTTTTCCCTTGAGAATATCCCTTGAATTTTGCTGCACCCGGGGAATTGCCTTGCCCATTTATGTGGTGAAGGCAGTCTTGAGTGTGAAATATTGGACATTATATGTTGTCGAAGGCTTTCATGGCTGGAATCGCTGGGTTGCTGTAAGTTTTCCAGGTTGTATGGCCATGTTCCAGAAGCATTCTCTCCTGACGTTTTGCCCACATCTATGGCAGGCATCCTCAGAGGTTGGGAGGTCTGTTGGAAACTAGGCCAGTGGGTTTTATATATCTATGGAATGTCCAGGGCAGGAGGAAGAACTCTTGTCTTCTTGAGGCAAGTGTGAATGTTGCAATTGGGCAAGAGATGCTTTTTATGGGGAAAACTTTGTGGTCATGTTTTTTCTAGTAAGCCTTTTCAAAAGGGTGTAATAGTGGTGCAGTTTCTTCTCAGAGAATTGTGATGCCCCTCAAATATTCTTTTTAGAGATCTCTTTGGTCACTCACTGTAATTTCTGGCTGAGCAACATCTACAGCTTCTGTCAATACAGAAATGCCATCCCTTTTTGGAACTGAAACTTCCCTATTATCGGCAGACTCTCCTTTGTCAAGGGAAGACTGCAAGGTGGTCTGACCTGTCTTTTAGGTGCTAGTGTCAGTCTTAGGTTTCTTGTATGCAATGGCTTACGTGTATGTGTGAGCTTTGTACACAGACAGAAAGTGTTTTTAAGGTAGACTATAAATTACCGAATTGGCTTAATCACCCTTTCCAGAGCTATCTTTATTGTTCATTGTCATGCATAAAAGAGGCAAGAGAATTACCACAATTATAAAAAAGAAGCCGGGAGAGGGGTGAGCTCCAGTTGTTAACCCCAGCTTTTGCCAACATAGCAGTTTGAAAACATGCAAATGTGAGTGGGTCAATAGGTACCACTCCAACAGGAAGGTAATGACATTTCATGCAGTCATGCTGGTCACATGACCTTGGAGGTGTCTACGGACAACGCCGGCTCTTCAGCTTAGAAATGGAAATGAACACCCGCCCCGCGCCCCCCCCCCCCCCCCCCCCCCCCCCCCCCCCAGAGTCAGACATGACTAGGCTTAATGTCAGGGGAAACCTTTACTAAAAAAAAAGAAGCTACTTGCTTTTGGCATGTTGTGTGGCACACTGATATTACACATTTTTTAATCTCTTAGGTTTTACTCAGGCGATTTAAATCTTCTAGGATTTTTCTAATATATCTTGGAAGAGAAGTGTATTAATGATTTACTTCACTGAATTATTAGAGCTTACATGTGTCTCCTCTACTCATTTTCAGGCTTGATGACTGCAGTTTATCTACCAAACATTTCAAAGATATTTCCACTGTTCTGACTAAAAATCAAGTCCTGACCGAACTTAAACTGAACAACAATGAAGTGGGAGACTCTGGTATGGAGGTGCTGTGCAAAGGATTGTTGCATCCAAGTTGTAAGCTTCAGAAACTATGGTAAATCCCCTGTTTGTTTGTTTGTTGTTTAATTTGCACTAAATAAAATTTGCTACAAATGGAAGTCTACAGACATCTTATCTTTAATGTTATGTTCTGAAGTCTGCCAAGTAAGTGGCATAGGATTTCTGTTCGATTTAGCATGCATTTTCATGCTTTCATTTTAGTAGAACATCTCCAGTCTCTTTTCATATTCTTGTCATGCAGTTTCTACAGCATGGGTTTTGTTGAACCAATTGTGGAGCTTATTTCCAAGTCCATTTGAACAGGTTTTATAGAACTTTAAAAATGCGCCAAGGATATGCATTCTTTTGCTACAAAATGCAGTATTCCAAGTCCTGTACTGAAGTGATTTTGATATATTTTGATAGTTTTGACCTGTACACAATATTCTACACCTAGCTAACAATATGCCTCCGCCTACAACTCATTTTTTTATTTTGGGGGGATTTAGAGCCCCCATTGGTGCAGCAAGTTAAACTGCTGAGCTGCTGAACTTGCTGACCAAAAGGTTGGCGGTTCGAATCCAGGGAGCAGGGTGAGCTCCTGCTGTTAGCCCCATCTTCTGCCAACCTAGCAGTTCAAAAACATGCAAATGTGAGTAGATCAATAGGTACTGCTTCTGCGGGAAGATAACAGCGCTCCATGCAGTCATGCCAGCCACGTGACCTTGGAGGTATCTATGGATAATGCCAGCCCTTCGGCTTAGAAATGAAGATGAGCACCAACCCTCAGAGTCAGACACAACTAGACTTAATGTGAAGGGGAAACCTTTTCCTTTTGGAAACAAACTCCACAATTAGACAAGGTGATCTCTCTCAGTTGATAATAGCATAACTTATGCAGGCTGACAAGTACACTGACAAGACAGTCCTAGTTGTTTCTCTTTCCTAGCATTACCCTGAACATAAATGATATTTTTCTTAGAGCCGCTGCAAACTAGCCTCCTGCGGGAGCAAACCTTGCCAGCACGTCCCTGACGTCATGAGACTGCACCTCTTGCCCCGCCCCTTTCTCTGCCTCTTTCTCCATGCCAGAGTGGTTTTTCCTTTGCTAGGGCAGCATTGCCAGCGTACTCTCGTTGTTGAATTCTGCCAACAACGAGAGTACGCTGGCAATGCTGCCCTAGCAAAGGAAAAACCACTCTGGCACGGAGAAAGAGGCGGAGAAAGGGGCGGGGCGAGAGGCAGAGTCTCATGACGTCAGGGACGTGCTGGCACAGTTTGCTCCTGCAGGAGGCTAGTTTGCGACGGGTCTTAATCCTTACGACTTCCTTTATTCATCTTCACAAGAAGGGTAGATCATAGAATATGGGTTTGTTTGTGTATGGTAGAGGTAAAAAATAGGGGTTCAGAACTAGCATTCTCCACTCTCTCACACGTGTAGAGATGGTTTTGGCTTTTTTGGTTTTGTCCACCAGCTTAACAGTCTAAAATCACTAACAAATAGGGAACTGTTCAATTTTGGGAAGAATCACTTCATTGTGAACTGTTGTTACAGGCTGCAGAATTGCAACTTGACCGAAGCCTGCTGTGAGCACCTCCGCTCTGTGCTTAGTAGCAATGCATCCTTGACTGAGCTGCACTTGGGTGACAACACTTTGGGTGAATCAGGAGTGAAAGTCTTGTGCCAGGGACTTCTGGATCCAAACTGCAAACTGGAGAGTCTTCAGTAAGTGACTGTTGAATTTGTGCACAAATGATTACAAATACCTTTGGGTTGTAAATATGTTTACTTTGAAAAACATCTTTTTGGGAGCTGGCGTGGTGTTAATGGGCTTTTCTATTGAGTCAGATGGACAGGCTGGGTAAATAACGAGCAGAAAACATATATTGCCAAAAAAGAATCCACAACCAGGCTTGCAAGAAGTTTTTACTAGAGTGAAGACCAGATTTACCAGATAGATTCATAGAGTTGGAAGAGACCTCGTGGGCCATCCAGCCCAACCCCCTGCCAAGAAGCAGGAAAATCACATTCAAAGCACCCCCGACAGATGGCCATCCAGTCTGCTTAAAAGCCTCCAAAGAAGGAGCCTCCGCCACACTCCAGGGCAGGGAGTTCCACTGCTGAACAGCTCTCACAGTTAGGAAGTTCTTCCTGGTGTTCAGGTGGAATCGCCTTTTTTGTAGTTGTACATAGGATTTCTGAGTGGGTTAAATGCAGATGTTTGAAAGATAAATATCCCATTGTTGTATCTACAGTGGTCTTCCATAAGCCAGTACATTCTAGATGGTTTGAAGTATAACTCCCAACCAGTAATGGTCATTATTATGGTGGTTGCCCAATTGGAGAGTACAGTGTTGAAGAAGGGTGGCTTAGAGATGTTCAATGTGAGGAAAAATGAAGCAAGTTCCTCAGTATGTAAGGTAGAGCCTCGTTCTTCTCTTTTCTCATAGGCTAGACTACTGTGAACTCTCGGCAGCAAATGTGGAGGCCCTCAGCTCTGCCTTACGCACCAAGCCATCCCTGAAGGAGCTCAGCCTGTGCAACAACAGCTTTGGAGATGCTGCAGTGAAGCTGCTTTGCCAAGGCGTACAGGATTCCAAGTGTAATCTGGAGACATTACGGTAAGTTGCAACTTCTTCCTGCTTTTGATATCATCCCTTCTGAGGCTGCATCGTGTGACATATTTGCCTTGCTGGTTATCGAGATGGCTTCACTAAGGGAAGACTTGGGATTCTCCATAAAATCCTTATTGTCTTGGCCAGGATTGGATTGCTGCAGTCTTGGATATTGACGCAATCATGGGGATGATGGTAGTGACTACATAAGTGTTTCTCAACCTGCGGGTCGGGACCCCTGAGGGGGTAGCCAAAGATCACCAGAAAACACATATTTCCGATGGTATTAGGAACCCTTTTGGCAGAGAAGGCTGAAGATCTCTCTGCCTACCCTTCTCTTCTTTTTTGGTGTTGGTGAACTACAACTCTCAGAATTCAAAAACACCCAACCCCACCAGTATTCAATGTTACTCATGTAGGTAGTGTGCCAAGTTTGGTGCATATCCATTGTGGTCTGGATTTGGAATGTTCTTTGATTGTTGGCGAACTATAAATCCCAGGAACTACAACTCCCAAATGACAAAATCAATCCCTCTCCCCAACCCCACCAGTATTCAAATGTGGGCATATGGGGTATTTGTGCCAAATTTGGTCCAATGAATGAAAATACATCTTGCATATCCAATATTTACATTATGATTCATAACATTAGCAAAATTACAGGTATGAAGTAGCAACGGAAATAATTTTCTGGTTGGCGGTCACCACAACATGAGGAACTGTATTAAGGAGTCGCGGCATTAGGAAAGTTGAGAACCACTGGGCTGCATCTTTCATTATGTGGGCTTACACTGCAGCTGTGTTAATTGAAGAGTCCTGAAACACACATTTTAAAATTTATTTCAGTTCTATGCAACTTTTTTTTCAGAGTGGAACCCAAGACAGCTCCCAGAGAGCATAAATTGAAAAACCTTTACAATAATACAATAATAACATTTAAACAATTCAGATCATCACACAAAATCATTATAGAATCACTTTTAAAACAGACAAAAGTTAAAAAGATAAATAAAACATTCAGATAATAACGTTCCCTGCTTACACATTAAAAGCCAGCTTCAACAAAAAAGGGCATTTGCAAAAGCTCCACCAGAGTTTTTTGTGTCTTATGGGGAGTGACGGCTTTATTCTTTGTCTGAACAGCAAAATTATTATTATTATTATTATTATTATTATTGATACAAAAGTACAGTATGTCACAGCAAACGAGACCTATATGCTGGATTTTGTACCACAAAATCACAAGTCGAACACTTCCCAAGCGTCTAGGAGTGTGTGATGTATTTTCGAATGATGTGCACAGATCCAAGTAAGGTGGCCTTTTGCAGTTGACAGGTTGTGATTTTGTCGATGCCGGCTGAGATCTTTTGGCATGGCACCCAGTGTGCCAATGACCACTGGGACCACCTGGACTGGTTTATGCCAGAGCCTTTGCAGTTCAATTTTGAGGTCTTGTTGTTGTTGTTATTATTATTATTATTATTATTATTATTATTATTATCTTCCAAAACTCTTCCAAACACAGGTAGTAAGTCTGCAAGATTCCTGTTCTAACAATATGTCACTGCAGTCTTGAAGATAACATTTTATTTCTCAATTCTATATTCATAAAGCTTAATATGGGTTTGAAACAGGTAGAAATACCTCATGGCAAAAAAGAGTACATTTTCTGATGCACTGTCATTGGAAAAAGCTTTTGATCCACGTTTTGCAATGCTAAATTAAGAAAAACCCCATTGGCTAATAAAAAACATCATATTGGAGAAGTCAAAGCAAGATGTGTCTTAGTGATGGCCACAAAGACAGAGCTGCTGACATGAATGTGGAAACAAGGCCTCCCCGTTGTTTGGCTGTCTGCAAATCAATGCTTAGCATTGTCCTTGGCTTCTTTTTTTCTGCAGGTTGGAGAACTGCGATTTTACTGCCGAGAGCTGTGGGGATCTCAGTACTATTCTCAGCACAAAGCCATCTTTGAAAGAGCTCTGCATAGGCGAGAACAAGATTGGTGACCGCGGTGTGGCACTCCTGTGCCAGGGCGCACTGAACCCAACCTGCAATGTTCAGAAGCTGTGGTAAGTGCCTTCTCTACATTGCCATGCCAAGTGCAAGGTGTTGCAGAGCAGAGGCAACTCAAGCCAATGTTCCTCATAGGAGAAACTGTTCTCCCTGGTAAATGCATTCTTTGGGTCAATAATTGGGAGATTTAGGGATCTATGATCAATTTCCTCCAGTCCTGCTGAACAACCTAAGGATTATTAGTCACTAGTTTCTCCAATGCAAATGTATGTTCAGCTTCCATTGAAAGGCGACCATAGAGTTGTGGTGAAAATCCTAAACATTTCCAGAGAGATGTTTTCTGAGGTATAAAATATCAGTTTTCTTTATAGTTTTCCATTTTCATGGGCGTTCTGTGCCTCTAACTCCAGCGAATGTGGAGAGCTGACTATATTTCATTTTTTCTACAAATTACCTTTTACAGATGCTTTGCTTTTAACTATCTATCACATGAACAATTTCTTAAATTAATATTTTAAGAAATTGTTCAAAAGTTGGCCCTCCATATCAAGGGATTCCAGATTTAGAGGAACCACCTCAGTTTCCACACAAAAATCAATTTTTGATTTTTCCATTGTATATGTCTATTGTATATAATGGGACAAGCATCCATGGATTTTGGTGTTCATTTGGGGTCTTAGAAAGAAACCCAGTAAAATACCAATGGCCCACTGTATATGCAAGCCTCACTATGAAATTTTAAAAAGTTTATTCTCAGTCTTACGTTAATCTGGGCCAGGAACCCAAAATCAAAAAATCCAAAAAAACCTCTAAAATCAGGACAGTAAATATAGAACAACATTCAGAAAACAGGGAAATTCCAGACAGGAAACAATCAGGGCCAGCCAACACCTCCCAACAAAGGATTCCCCCCCAGACAGGAAGCAGACAGGCTTTGAAGCTGCAAGGCTATTCAGTGCTAATCAAGGTGGCCAATTACAACATTTACATTTGACTCCCTGGACATTCCACAGATATATAAACCCCACTTGCCTAGTTTCAACAGACCTCACAACCTCTGAGAATGCCTGCCATAGATGTGGGGAAAACATCAGGAGAGAATGCTTCTGGAACATGGCCATGCAGCCTGGAAAACTCGCAGCAACCCAAAATCTTGTACATGACTAGCCACCAATCCTTCTAGCTCAGATACATAGGTAAAGAGTTTTGGCCCGCAATCTGAGGTTTTATCCTTGACTCGTATGTATGTTTGCTTTGAAATCTCCAGTATTTATACTTCATGCAAATAAAGGTGATATATCTTCGATGGAAATTCTGATTTATGATGACTTAATACTACAAACTCTGTGAAATATAGAAGAGCAAAATAGTGCATGCTACATGTAGGCAGTGTACTGAGTCCATAACATTTCTCAGGTCTCTTCTTAACTGTGATTTTTGTTGCTCTGTAACAACTATTATTTTAGGTTGTGGGAATGTGGTATCACCGCTCATGGCTGCAAAGACCTCTCCAACCTTTTTGGCAATAAAGAGACTCTCAAGGAGTTAAGCTTGATTGGAAATGACGTGAAGGATCAAGGAATGGACTTTTTGTCTCAAGGACTGAAGAATCCAAAGTGTAAACTCCAGGCAATTTGGTACATACTCAAGAGCTGCTTTCACTACTGTTTTCTTTGTTACTGAATGCAACAAATAGTGCTACTAAGCAGGAATGTTCTATAAAAGTTAGGCATAGATAACTCAGGCCCAGACCAGCTTCTTAGGTGATTCACATTTAGCCAAACAACAATTGGTTCACACACACACACACACATAAATATACATACGAACAGGGTCTAGCAGAGAAAGAAATATGCTGTTGCATTTACTTACAATGGCTTTTATTTCCAGTACTTTTCCATATTCAAACACATGGTGTAATTTGGGAGCAAGAGAAGAGAAAAATGGCTGCAGGAAGGAAGCGGGGGTTGTGAAGCAAACAGACAGGAATCCTTAAAAAATGCAGCTAGCAATCTGTGAGCAAAGGGATGCAAAGGTCACTTACATGAGTTGCCCAAAACAGTTTCAACTTTACCATGAATATTACTAAAGGTTCATCAAGTTCCTTCCTTTTTCTGAACCACCACAACTTCTGCTAAGGATAAGGAAGGGTGGGGAACTTTTGGTCTGCTTGACGTTTTAGGCTATAGTTTCTCCACGCCAGCCATGTTACTGAGGCTTGATGTGGGTAGAAATAAACCTCTGGAGTGCCAATACTTCTCTAGTGAGAACCTAAGGCCTAGTCCACATAAGCATGAGTCATGAATGGCTCTGTCACCCTTCTTGCGTGGGAAGATGCTTTGTGTTCTTGACCCTGGGTAAGTGGAAGATCATTATTCAGGGTTTGTTCCCTATCTTTCCTGTTGTAAAGCCACGGCTTGTCACCCTGATTTTATTATAGGGTTCATAGAGGGCAAAACCATGCCACAACACAAAGCAAATGCTTTCCTAGATGCAAAATGTCAAACTAGTCAGAGATAACGTCTTTATTTGTTTCCTGTAGGTTGAGAGAATGTGGTCTGACCGGAACCTGTTGCAAGAGCCTCAGCCAGGCTCTCAGCACAAACGGTGCTTTGAAGGAGCTACACATCGGAGGCAATAAGCTGGATGATGCTGGAGTGATTCAGATCTGCGAGGGAGTCCTGAGCCCCACCTGCAACCTCCAGTCCCTCTCGTAAGCAGACTTCTACCTATGTTTCCTTTCAAACACAGCAAAGAAGGGCTCTGTGTAAGCCTTTTGAGGCAAGGACTGCTATTTGCATGGACGGAGCCCTTTTTAAGCTCTTGTGTTTGGGATTTAGGTGCCTTTGCATTACAGCTTGCTGTCATATCTTCTCCATGGGCACATTTCCTGTATTGCATCCAATGTGAAAAGTGGTCTGGGAATGAAGTGCCCTATATCATTATTAATATTGGGATTATACTACAATCCTAAAGATGGATGTGCGCACACCCCTCCCCACTCCAAAAACAGGCATTTCTTGTTTCTCTCTCTTGGCTTTAGCTATGATTCAGTTCTTGCTGCGGGCTCTGAAGTGAGTGCTTCTAAATATACTTTTGCCTTACTTTATTCAAAATAAGCAGCTGCATTTGAAGCAACTAAGCTATTTGCCTTGAACTAGTTAAGGAAAATGTGCATTTTGAGTGATTTTGTGATGATGGTTGTGTAGGATGCAATTCTAGTTTGCTTTCAAGGCAAGGCTTTGAGTAGACTGGGCAGTTGTGGCCATCCAGATGTTAGACTGTAACCTCCAGCAGTCCTAGTCAGTATGGGCTGTGCTGAGGAATGCAGGAGCAACACAATTCACATTCTTGCCAGGAGTATTACGTTTCTTGTCTTTCAAAAATATTGTAATTCTGAACCCAGTATTTTAGGGTTTTTTTCTCCTTAAAGCTAAGGCATTCCGATACAGGTTTCCAACCTGTGTTATAGAATTTCTGTAACAGTACAGTATTTATTACTATAACCATGAAAACACTGTATGGTGCTTTGTGAGGCCACCCTGAGTCCCCCTTGGGGGTGAGAAGGGCAGGGTATAAATATAGGAAATAAATAAATAAATAGATAGATAGATAGATAGATAGATAGATAGATAGATAGATAGATAGATATTTGTTGCAGATCTGCAAAATTGTAGTGGAAATAACATTAATGATGATGATGAAATAATAACAACAACAACAATATGAGGATGATGATGATTATAATAACAACAACAACTTAATTTTTATACTCTGCCTCCATCTCCCCAGAGGGACTCGGGGTGGCTTACGCATGGGACAAAACGTCCACAGAACATCAAAACAAAACAATCCATTAAAACAAAAAACATAATTAAAATAAAACATAGCAAAGCATAACAATCAAGTAAAACCCAATTAAATAAAACATAAGGATGTAAAACAGCAACATTAAAACTCACTCAAACAATACACAACAAATACCAATAACCAGAATACTAAGCTGGGCATGATCAGGGTATAAAGAGGACCGGACCTGGGATAGTGCATTATCCAATTAGTAGTTGAAAATTACTTTTATTTTTATTTACATGTATTGTTTATTATTATTTATTTATTTATTTACTTCTTTTGTATACCGCAAATATCAGCCTAAAAAGGCGACTCGAAGCGGTTTTTCCTTTGTCCTCAAAAAAGGACTTTTCAAGGAAGTGTATGGAAAAATTAAATTAGGATCACAGGATTGAAATGCCATGCAATCCAACTTTCTGCATTTTGTTGTTGTCTGTCTTCCAGACAACTTTTTGCTCACGGCAGCCCTCTTCTAGGGTTTTCTTGGCATGACTTTTTAAAGTTTGCTATTGCCCTCCTCAAAGGCTGAGAGTATAATTTGCCTAAAATCACCCAATGTGTGATTAAAACCTCTACAAAGAGATTAAAACTTTGGCCTTCCAGAGTCCTAATCCAACACTCAGACCACTACTCTGTTATCTTAGACATGTAACATGGATATTATAGCTCACTCTCATTCTCATCTGTTCCTAGGGTGGGGCAGTCACAGCTTACGGCAGCTTGCTGTGACAAGCTTGCTGAGGTGATAGCTGGAAAGCCATGTCTACAGGAACTGGACGTGAGTTACAGCCACATCGGAGATGAAGGCGCAATGAAGCTCTGTGAAGCAGTGAAGAATCCCAACTGCCACCTGAAGTATCTAATGTAAGTGGGCCCTTCATGATGTGCTAACAATTGGAGGAATTGCCAGGGTGGGTTGAATAAAGGAACACTTTCATAGATCTGTTCCTGTCTAGATGATGCACAGCATTCTCATCAAATCTTTTGGCTCTGGCCTTTGGAAAGGCATCCATTGGATTTGAAGTGTGTCTGTCATTTACTCCTGGGTATCAGCATAGTCTGCCCTACTGTTAGGAACAGTGAGTGTCTCAAGCAACAGGTACATGGAGGGCAGAAAGAGGTGACAGCAGGGTGCTGGAGGATAAATCTATGTGTGCAGAATATGCTTCTGCCTTTGGGTGTTTTGGATATAGTGCCCCCTTCCAGAGGCGGCCCTAGGTAATTTTCAACAGTAAGCAAACAGTATTTTGCCCCCCCCCCCCCCCAACCAATCACTGATATATACTTTCTGTTCATCATGGGAGTTCTGTGTGCCATATTTGGTTCAATTCCATCATTGGTGGAGTTCAGAATGCTCTTTGATTGTAGGTGAACTATACATCCCAGTAACTACAACTCACATATGTCAAGGTCTATTTTCCCCCAAGAGCACCTCAAGAGCGCCCCTGGGCAAAATCAACTATACTGCAAATGCTTACTTTGCGTAATGGGTTGAGCCATCCCTGCCCCCTTCCCATCAGCAGTGTTGAGTTTATGCTCAGCTACCAGTTTGATCAATAGCTATATCTTGAATTGGGGAATGCCCTCTTATCCCTCCCCCTAGATAAGAAAATATCCCAAATTAATCCTGTAGATCAGAGGTGTCAAACTATGGCCCTCCAGATGTTTTGGCCTCCAACACCCAGAAGCCCTAGCCAACTTGTTCAAAGGCCAGGAATTCTGGGAGCTAAAGTCCAAAACATCTGGAGAGCCACAAGTTGTATGTGTCTTTTGTAGATGATTGTTCTAAGCACTTCAGTGAACTTCCTGACTCATTTAATTTCTGTACAGTCTCTCTTGAGGTAATCTTCCATTTTTAGCAACACAGGTCTGGTTTGGTCATCTAGAAGCAGACTTGCTTGAATTATTTACATAGTGGTGTCCAGCTGACCATTACAAAAACTATCATGACACCACATTATGACTGTGTAAATGGGAAGAGATTGTACAAGTGATTTTTGCAATACAATGAGTAGCAGTCCCTAAAAGATAACGGTAAAGGTTTCCCCTGACATTAAGTCTAGTCGTGTCTGACTCTGGGGATTGGTGCTCATCTCCATTTCTAAGCCAAAGAGCCAGCGCTGTCTGAAGACACCTCCAAGGTCATGTGGCCAACATGGCTGCATGGAGTGCCGTTACAATCCCGCCAGAGCTGTATCTATTGATTTACCTTGAGTTGCCTTCAGGCTGAGAAAGGAAGGTTAGAAATACTGCAAATAAATAAATACTCACATTTGCATGTTTTCGAACTGCTAGATTGGCAGAAACGGGCTAACAGTGGGAGCTCACCCTGCTCCCCAGATTCGAACCACCAACCTTTCGGTCAGCAAGTTCAGCAACTCAGTGGTTTAACCCACTACACCACCAGGGGATCCTTAAAGCTTATGCCAAATGAAATAGATTCATTTTTAAATTCTAGAAGACTGTGTTGTGGTGGTGCATGTTAACAAACTAGACCAAGAGCTTCCTCCACTATTCAGATGTTTACCGTCCTGTCTTGCATCTCTGTGTCCTTCCTTTGCCACCTTAAGTACTTGTAAAGACCTCGTTGAGGCTGAGCTTGTCACCCCATCACCATATCCACAACTCTCACCTCCAATTTTGAGTGATGCTAACTTTCACTTAATTCTGTTGCAGCCTGTATGACACCTTCTGGACTACTCCAGTGGACAAAGAACTAAAGGCGTTGGAAGAGCTAAAGCCTGGATTTAAATTGGTTACATGAGTAGCACAAGTTCTCTGTGACCACTTCTATTGCCTTTTACTTCTGTGGGGACTTCCTTTTTTAAACCAAATGTGCAGCCCATACAATGATGGATTTCTTATTATGCCAAATTCATGGACTTGGCAAATGTAGTCTGCCTAGGAAACACATTCAAAATTAGGGAGGTATCTGTTCTTCAGTTATGAGGTAGCTCAATATAAAAGAGTACTGGAATATCTCCTGGGTCCAGAAGAATTAATTAAAATTAATAGTAAATCATGTTGGTAGGCTGCCTTGCCTTTTGGGAAATAACAAGAGTGGCACCAACTGTAATATATAAAGGAGTGGTTTACATGCAGATAACATGAAAATCTTCCTGAAGGAAGAACTATATTGGTAATGTATATTGGGGGGTGATACATCCTTTGATTTATATAGAAATGATGCAAATTGTGTCCTCAAAATATCAATTATTTTAAGTTCTCTGCAAGTCAACTTTCTGTATCTTGACCAGCAAAATCTAGCTTTGTAGAAACCTGAATAAAGTTTGCTTGCAAAGAGATTGTATTTGTGCTCTTGTTTTTTGTTTATCATCAAAGGTTCCTAAACGCTTTCATGAAAGTACCTTTGGATAGCCTAAAGGTCAGGTCTCCAGCATCACGAATGGTTAGACTCTAGGCTTGGGTAACAACGGAAAAATTTGTTTCTAAAATCGATTTGTATTTGGGGGTTTTTTTGTTTCGATATTTAAAATAATTACAAAATTTTCCCTTAAAAAAGTTCGGTATTTACGAAATTTCGTTAATATTTACAAAACATTTTGTAAAGATGGCGCCCTTTTTTTCCCAATATTTTTTCAATATTTTTTAAATTTAATTATTAATTTTTAATCTGGGATAAACTGAACACCTGGGATCAGATCCTGGGATATAAGTTCTGCCTGGAAGGGCCCTGTGATAATCCAATCAACTCTGGGGTTTTTTTTTGTTTTTGTACATCCCCCTGCCATTGGTATTCTGGATCATGTAGTTGTGCAGATTGCCCTAAACCTCCCTCTCCACTGCCATATACTCACGGGGAGTGGGTGGCTGGGAGTGGAGTGAGGAGGTCGGCGGGAGAGGTCGCCCCCGGCTGCTCTTGCCCCGCCCCCATGGATGCCCCTTCCTGCCGCCGCTGCCCAGTCACTCCAAGCTTGAGATGGAGCCGGGGGCAGGGACAGCTCAGCTGGCCACCACCCCACCAGTCTCCCTGATAACTGGGCCTGCCGCTCCTCCTCCTCTTCCTCCCCCCTCGCCCTCGGCATCTCCGAGCGGCGCGGCCTGAGGAGGAGGAGGAAGAGAAAGGGTCGGAGGATTGGGGGGGGGGAGGAACGGAAGGCCCCATGACCAGGGAGACTGGCGGGGTGGTGGCCAGCTGAGCTGTCCCCGCCCCTGGCTCCCTGTCAAGCCTGGAGTGACGGGGGGCGCCGGCAGTGGAAGGGGCCATCCACAGGGGCGGGGCAAGAGCAGCCAGGGCAAGAGCAGCAGGCTGCGCCGCTCGGTGGGGGCGGGGAGGAAGAGGGACCCTGCTGCTGCTGCTGCTGCTGGAGGCGGAGAAGGAGGAGGATGGGAGGAGGAGGAGCAGCAGGCTTACCACCAGCAGCAGGGTCCCTCTGGCCTCTGATAGCTTCCCGCGTCCCTCGCTCTCGGCGCCCCTGGCAAAATAAAGTGTTCCGCAACGGCTTACTTGCTAGTTGCTTCGCGTAATGGTTGAGCCGCCCCTGAGCCCGCCCAATCAGGAGAACCCACAGGGCAATCAGCTCTGTGGGTTCTTCTGATTGGCTCCCGGAGCTCCCAGCAAGCATCTAGCCATCTTACATATTTCCGAAATGGACGGAAATACAAAAATATTTGGCGCATGCCGTTTCGATATTTAAAAACACTTCCGGGTTTAAAAATAAGTTTTGTAATCGTTTTGTAATTGCTAAAATTAACGAATATTTAACGAATTACAAAATTAACGAACGAAACCGCCCAGGCCTATTAGACTCCTTCCTTCTCACAGCAGTGCCATTTTTAGAAAAATATGAGCAATATGACCTGGCAATGCCAACATAGTTTTTCTTGTCTACACCATGCTGTTACATTGGTATAGCAACATGACAATGCTTTGGGCTACTTTGCAGTTCTCATTATTTTTCCTTTTTAAATATAAATACATTAACAGCTTACAGTATAAACAGTAAAGAGAGCACAGAGCAATGAACATTTTGCAAACACAATACCCCATAAGGCCTGAACAAGAATCATTTCCTTTGCCATAAATTTATGAGTCAACCAGTAAACAAATGTCATATCCAAAATTCCTGACCAACAAGGTTGTATTGTTCTCATTATTATTCCGACAAGACTTGTAGTTAATCAATTAACCATTAGCTGCCAGTGTGGCTTCTTAAAGCCAAATCACATGTTCACAACATCAGTAATGTTGCTGTGTGCCTGTCCACCTGTTTTCCAACCACTATAAGCTTGTTTTATTATCTCTGCTAGGTGGTCTTTCACAATGCCCTCCCCCAGTATTGTTATAAATTTATAAAAAAATTATAAAAATTGGAGTGTGTGCATGTACAGCATCTATTTATTTATTCACGACATTTATATGCCGCACTTCTCACCCCGAAGGGGACTTAGAGCGGCTTACAAGATATATATATATATATACACACACACACACACACAATATATTAAATAATTACCATAGTAAAATATCAGTATATGCGATGACTCAATACATTTTTGCATCCAGTGGGGTATAGTGGTTTGATCATTGGACTAAGACACATGAGACCAGTGTTCAAATGCCCATTTGGCCATGAAAACCACTGGATGACCTTGGACAAGTTACATTCTCTCAACCACAGATGAAAACAAAGGAAAGTACCCAAGAGCAAATCTTGCCAAGTAAGCCCCGTGATAGTTTTGCCTTGGGGTCTTTACAAGTCAGAAATGATTTAAGACACACATCAACATGATAGAGATACATGTGGTTTTGTTGTTTTGAATATGTGAATAAATTACATTCCTATAAATAGTGCTATATTGCAATTTCCAACAATTATAGCCATTATAGTGAATAGCTGGGTTTAGAAAAGGCAGAGGAACGAGAGACCAGATTGCCAATATCCGCTGGATAATGGAGAAAGGCAGGGAGTTTCAGAAAAACATCTACTTCTGCTTCATTGACTATTCTAAAGCCTTTGACTGTGTGGATCATAATAAATTGTGGCAAGTTCTTGGTGGGATGGCATACCAAGCCACCTTGTCTCTCTCCTGAGGAATCTGTACAAGGACCAAGTAGCAACAGTCAGAACTGACCACGGAACAACAGACTGGTTCAAGATTGGGAAAGGCGTACGGCAAGCCTGCATCCTCTCACCCAACCTTTTTAACGTGTATGCAGAACACATCATGCGATGTGCGGGGCTTGATGAATGCAAAGCTGGGGTGAAAATTGCTGGAAGAAACATTAACAACCTCAGATATGCAGATGACACCACTCTGATGGCCGAAAGCGAGGAGGAGCTGAGGAGCCTTCTAATCAAGGTGAAAGAAGAAAGTGCAAAAGCTGGGTTGCAGCTAAACGTCAAAAAAACCAAGATTATGGCAACAAGAATGATTGACAACTGGGAAATAGAGGGAGAAATCGTGGAGGCCGTGACAGACTTTGTATTTCTAGGTGCAAAGATTACTGCAGATGCAGACTGTGGCCAGGAAATCAGAAGACGCTTACTTCTTGGGAGGAGAGCAATGTCCAGTCTCGATAAAATAGTAAAGAGTAGAGACATCAGACTGGCAACAAAGATCCGCCTAGTCAAAGCCATGGTATTCCCTGTAGTAACCTACGGATGTGAGAGCTGGACCTTAGGGAAGGCTGAGCGAAGGAGATAGATGCTTTTGAACTGTGGTGTTGGAGGAAAGTTCTGAGAGTGCCTTGGACTGCGAGAAGATCCAACCAGTCCATCCTCCAGGAAATAAAGCCCGACTGCTCATTGGAGGGAAGGAGACTAGAGACAAAGTTGAAGTACTTTGGCCACATCATGAGGAGACAGCAAAGCCTAGAGAAGACAATTATGCTGGGGAAAGTGGAAGGTAAAAGGAAGAGGGGCCGACCAAGGGCAAGATGGATGGATGGCATCCTTGAAGTGACTGGACTGACTTTGAAGGAGCTGGGGGTGGTGACGGCCGACAGGGAGCTCTGGCGTGGGCTGGTCCATGAGGTCACGAAGAGTCGGAGACGACTGAACGAATGAACAACAAATAGTGAATGATAGGGTATGTTGGAAGTTGCAGTTTAACAATACTAAAGAACCACATATTGTCCCTCCTTGATCCAGTACTTAATGGTGGCTGCAAGATTTTATTGTATTATGTTTGTTTTCTTTAGTATAGGACTCAGGTTGGCTGAATACATGAAAGGGATTTTCAGTTTTACCATCCAGCTCCTTTTTTATTTCATGTCAAAAACATGCCATAAATAAATAAGTTTAAATCTGATAAAATAAAGGGAGCATAATCAGCTAAATAATTTTAGACCAAAAATGGGCAACAGCAACTGCATTGTCTGTAGCTTTAACAGTTCTTCCCCTGTGCATGAGGCAGGGCATTGTGGGCAAGCATACAGGTGAGGAGTTGTTTATTCTGCTCCACAGTCATGCAAGGTGGAGGAGTCTTCTAGGTAGTGTCATTTTGCCAGGTTGATCCAGCTCCTAAGCCTTAGGATAGACATGCCAATCTCCAATATGTAGGTAAGGAGAAAAATGTCTATTAAAGCAGGGTATGGTGCAATGGTTGGGGGCAAAATGTATATTAAATCTTCTACAGATATTAATATATGCAATATCTGTAGAAGAGGCTTGACATGTATGCTGATGCACTGCCACAGCCCGATTTACCCTACTCCTGTTTTGATAGTTTCCCCTACCAGTATAAAATAATACAAATGTTTTTATTAAAATAAATAAAAAATATTTTTATTTATGTATTTCTTGGGAGTATTTTGCCAGTTTGCCTGCATGGCAGAAATTAAACTAACTGGCCCATGTAGCCTCTTCCAACCTTATGATTCTATGGTACAAATTACATATTTCTTTCAAACTGCAAGGCTCCTTAAGTCCCAAATCATTTAACAATCAAAATTTGACTAAAACTGTCCATATCTTGATTACTTGTAGACATAATCCACAGCAGGAAATCTTATAGTGATAGTGACCGCATCACTATCTACGAACCCACACGCTCGCTCCGGTCATCTGGAGAGGCCCTGCTCGTGATCCCACCTATGTCGCAAGTGCGCTTGGTGGGGACACGGGACAGGGCCTTTTCTGTGGCGGCCCCCCGACTTTGGAACGCCCTCCCAAAAGATCTCAGACAGGCCCCTACTCTAGCCGTCTTCAGAAGGAATTTAAAAACTTGGCTGTTCCGTTGTGCCTTCTCAGATTAGGAACCCCCACCCAAGTCCAAATAGCACCTTAGCATAACAAATCGTTACTACACACTGCACTTGAAATCCTACGTGCCTCCTGCC